TGCTGGGGGCGGCCCGGGAGGGACGGGACAAAGTGAAAGTCTCCAGCCGCGGTTTGGGGCCCGGGAGGAGGCTCTAAGGGCGTCGGGAAGAAGGAAGGGGGTGCTGCTTGCTCTTTATTTGGTGTGTGGAGCGGCTTTTGGCGGGGAGATGGAGGGGCAGGCTCTCGGGGCGCCCGGTGGGCTCCCGCAGAACTGGAGCCTTCTGGAGAATCCCTCGGAGGAGCGAAACGGGCCTGCCAAGCCGCCGGGACGCCCTTCTGGAGAGAAGCCCCCGGGTTGAGGTTGGGCCCCGGGTTCCGCCCCGCGTCCCGGGAAGCTTCGCGGTCAGGTGTGGAAGCAGCTTGCGCGGTTTTATCGAGCGTTGTTTTGTCTGCACCTTCGTGGAGCAGCGCGGAGGCCCCAGAGGGCACACACTGCTTCTTGGCCTCAGACAACTGGGTGCCCCCCCACGCCCTGCCCTGCCTTCTGGGTGGGACTGGGTCCCAAGGAAAGCCGTGGGGCCACCCCGGCCAGCCGCCCCTGGCTGTGCTGCTGGAACCGCTCCGCCCTGTTCTGCTCCCCGGCTCAGACTTTCTCGTGGTTATTCTGCTGACTGCAGAGCTCTTTGCTTGGCTGACATCCTGTTTGTTTTTTTGTTTTTAACATCCCATGTGTTGCTTCTTTTTATCACAGAAACGCTTCGTTAAAGGGCTCAGGCAGTACGGCAAGAACTTCTTCAGAATTAGAAAAGAGCTGCTTCCCAGCAAGGAAACGGTGAGTACCGCTGTACTTTCCGGAACTTGATTTTCCCTCTTTGCTCCTGCTGCTGCTTTTGCCCTGGATCTTAGGAAATGGTTCCTTTAGCCCTGCCCCGTGCGCACTCAGGCTGGCCTCCAGGATTCCGGTCCTCTTAGGGCTTCACGTTTGACGGTTGGGCTCCTGATTGCAGTGAAGTGACAGATTAGACTGACCCCTGGGAATAAAATGGACTTCTGTTGTAAGGCCAGAATAACGTGGGTTTATTTTTCTCTGGCTGGGGGGAGATCACTTTGGAGTGTTAATATCAAATTGTAAAAACAGTGACTGAAATGAATGTCTTTCATCACGGGTTTAGGTTAAGTTATTGGCAAGAGTGGTCAGTCGGACAGTAAGGGATCTGTAGCTCACTATTTTGAATTCTGTTTGCCTTTTTATTTAACGCTATGTCTTGAAGGGTAGTTTTAACTCCTTAATTTTCCAGGCCTAGAAGTTTGCACTTTTCGTTGGACAGATAGACAAGGATTTTTATGCATTGCTTAGACGAAGCTTTTAATAACTAATGTTTCACAAGACTGAGCGTCAAATTTGATGAATGCGCTTGACAGACTTGCGATGAGGGGGTATTAGAAAACTTCAGAGTGAAGTTCAAGAGAATTGCCCGCCTTGGTTGAGTTTCATTTACCTATAATCTCCCACAGGTGGTGTAATAGGAGGGGGAGGGGTGGGCCAGACTGGGGGCCGGGCCCAGCCTCTTCCCAGAGGGCGGGAGGTGGAGCCCAGCAACAGGAAGTGCTTGGGAGGGCTTAATCTGCCCAGACTTCCGCGGGCCCTTGTTTTCCCTGGGGAAGAGGGCATTGATGAATCTCCATTCTAAAAGGGTGAATTGTTACATTTCACCTGGGTTTTGTTTTTCTAATCGTGTGCTCATTGATTTCCTCTAATTTAATTTTGATGCTTTTGGTTTTTATAGTGAAGTTTCTGAATACTTTCTCTCTGTAGTACCTTGAAAATAATAACTCTAGGGAAGAAGACCTGACATAGTTGATGGTTTGTTACCATCATAAGTGAACTTGCAGTATTTATCATCAAAAAATGCTAAGATGAGTCGTTTTGGGAACAGTTCCAAAAAAAAAAAAACCACTACTTGCAGTTTTAACTAAAATCTTGTGTGGTCTTTTTTGTTTGTTTGTTTATTTGTTTTAAGATTTATTTCACGCATACAGAAGTGGAGTACAGGCCAGAGGTACGGGAATGACAGTGTTACAAGGCAGGGAGAGAGGGGGCACCCCTGAACCCCCAAACCTGTCTGCTCTAAATAGGTTCTGCCATCCGCCGCATGAAGACAAAACATATAAGACTCTAATGAGAAGGAACTTTAATACAGTGAGTGTACAGTACTGAAGCTAATATAATTTCTAACTCAAACACCTCACGTTACCCATCCCCTTATGGGCTTGGCCCAGAGCAAGGCCTGCAAGCCCGCCGCAAGTCTAAAGCACCTTCTGACCGGGACCCATGGGAAAGGGTCAGGAATGGCCAGACAAGTCTGGGGGGAAGAGCACATCAAAGTCAGGGTAACGCTGCCATAGTCACCCCCAGGGTCTCCCGCCCACATCTCTTTCAGCCAGTCCAGGGCCAAGAAATAAACAGTTTCTTCAATGTGTCTCTCTGTTCCACGTGGCTTCCTCAGGGCTCCTTCTGGCTCTCCATCCCACTTCCTTCTTCCTCAGATTCCTTCTCTTCTCTGCTTTTCTCTCCTCAGCTCCACCCTCCTTCTGGGTGGGCCAGGGAACCTGGAACATCCCCTTTAACTAGGGACCACCCTGTTACAAGAGGACCCACCTGAGACAGAGTGGGAAGCAGAACAGGCTCCCCACTGCTGAGGGGAACAGCAGGCAGGTCAGGAGAGGTCTGCCACACCATGTGGGTCAACTCCGGGGTGGGCATCGAACTCATGCTGAAGTGGCTTTAGCTTCTCAGTGCTGCACTTTAACCTGCTGCACCACCAGGGAGGCCCAAGTCTATGATTATTTATTGCTCTTTGGAGAACAGATGGGAAAGCGGTATTTAATATGGCATAGTAAAATGAAATATTTCAAAGTTTTCTGAGGATTGCAGTTATTTGTAGTTTGATAAATATTTTAAACAATAAAATGGAGTTTGGCTTGGCCAAACTGGAGTGAAGATAATGAGAGCAGTGAGCAGATGTGACCTGACGTGATGGGCAGATTATAATCATACAACTCAAGTTTACCTGCTGAAAGATACTCGCCATGGAGCTTTACTACAAAAAATTACTCCACAGTTGCTTTGAGTTTGTTTTAAAAAGTAAATGTGTAATAACATGATTAAGGCTGTTAATCCGCAGTCAACACAGGGAAATGCTGATCAATCCAGCGTTTTGTCTCCCTAGTAGCAACAACTGTGATTTTGGTCTGCTCAGCCACCCTTTTTTTTTTTTTTTTTTTTCCGGTAAAGATTTATTTATGCACACAAGAGCTGAGGTGCAGGTGTGAAAGGGTTCACCAAAGACAGAGTGGGGAGCAGGACAGGAAGGTGAACTGAAACACTGCTGAGGGGACAGGAGAGTCTGCCGCACCATGTGGGTCACTCCCTGGCTGGGGATCGAACTTGTGCTGCAGTGGTTGTGGACAGCCCCACAGTGCTGCGCTGTAACCTGTTGTGCCACCAGAAGGGCCCTCAGCCGCCACCTTGTTCTGCATGTCACTGGCCACTCAGGGCGTCTCCCCTAGAGAAGGCTCCGTAAACCTACGTTTGGATCCGATGCCCTGCACCTTTTCCTTGCAGTCCCCCCCACGCCTCTGCTGCCAGCGCGGGCTGCTCTGGCCCCAGCAGCCTTCCGCTCATCGCAGCAGTGGGGAAGCTGTCTGCAGCGGTGAGGGTTGTCATGGGGGTCGTTGGCCAGGCCTGCCCGGTGCCCTGCTGTCCTTGGCACAGAGCTGGGGTAGATCTGTGAACATTTTCATGAGCGGGGAGAGGCACTGGTCTTGTGCTGCCCTTGGTTATCGGCACAGCCAGGCTCGTCACTCACACCACCCGGGAAGGGGCCAAAGGTGACTTTCATTTTTTGCTGCAAAAGATGAGAAAATTGGGAGGTACCAGTGTCTTTGGGTCAAATCACCCTCGGTGGAAATCTTCATGGGTCATGCCCCTTTTTATAGCAAATCTCTCTAATCGAGGTATTTTCCACACCCTGTTCTACTTACTGGAATTATTAACTCATTTTTTTGCCATTCTCAACTGACTGGAAGCTTCAGAGGGCATCAGCACCCGGAAGGCCGTGCCTGGGCACTACTCCTGGCCCCTGCAATCCACTCCCTTTCCCAGGGGGACTAACCCTAGCAAAGACTAGAAGTCTTTGTCTCCACAGCATGTTGGCCTTGCGCTAGCCACCTTCTGGATGCTCCCGTGTTTATGAAACTTTGCATGCATTGCACGGTTTGCGTGCATTAAGAACAAAGTGGTGGTTCTTGCCCCGGGCAGCCACAGTGAGGGCCTCAGGCCACTATAAATGGCGCAGTCCTGCCTGTCCCTTCCGTGCTCTTGAGAATTCCCAGCAGTGATGACGACAGGTACCCTTCCCGTCTGTCTCCATACGACATGAGGTAGCTGAGTGATAGGAAAAGCACAGGATTATTTTTCATTTGTAAGTGTATCAAAACCATAAAAAGAAGTTACCTGTTTGTCTTTAACATATATTTCCCCAAGCCCCTGTAATGGGAAAGCTGGGGGTGGCCGAAGACCTGCCTGAGAACTGCATTTGCTCCCACAGCCCTCTGGTGAGGCGGCGCTCCTTCTCCCAGCTGTTTCGGTGCGGATGCACAGGCCAGGGCTCCTGGCGACGTGGGTCCAGTAGGCCAGCTAGCTCTTTGGGTTTGCGGGATTTGTTACACGGGGCTGGCTTTCCTCAGAGCCCTGCTGCCTACTGAGGGGGAGTGGCTGTGCCTGCAGGAAACCACCTGTTCATAGAGGCTTCATGGAGTGGGTCCTGTGTGACCCTCACGTGCCAGGAGCACTAGCTGCAGGCCAGATGTCTGTGGAGGAGCGTGCGGCCCGATCTTGCTCTGTGCTGTCGTCACTGCCCTTCTCCCCTCTCCACTCCCAGCAGCCGCGCTTCCCTGGGGCTACTCATAGGTGGCTGTGAGGTCGGTGGTCGGTCGTAGACCATGGCCTAGAGTCTGCTGAGCCCCTCCCTGCTGTGCTCCACCTCTCGGGCGCTGTTGGGCCCAGACCACCCTGAGCCTGTGGAGGGCACGACTGTCTAAATCCCAGTGCGTGCCTGGGAGCTGGGCTGCTGAGGAGAGGGGGGGATCCATGCCTTTTGGGCTCTGCTTGGTGCCCAGCCACGCATTCACCGGTCGATGGGGTGGTGTTAAGTAGGCCCCAAAATAGATGGCTGAAGAGTTGAACTTGCTAACAGGAAGGGAACCATGGTGCGAGTCATATAAAGTCATGGCTGTTCCAAAAGCAACTTTTCACTTGATTTTTATATACATCATGGTTTTCGCCTCATCTCGCAACAACCCTCAGTGGCAGGGACGTGTCTTCCATGCTGTGAACGTGTCTGCTGAGGCAGCGACTGCCTGCCTGACACGGGGCACTTGTCCCTGGGCCCAAGCCGCCTTGTGTCACTCTGCCCACTCTTGTTGCACAGACACAACCTGGTGGCATAGGCCGCACCGTGCTCCCGCAGCGGCCAGTCTGCAGCGATCGTTGGGGGCAGGCAGTTTGATCTGCCCTGACTTGGAGGAGAGCAGAGGCCCTCCAGAGCTGTTCCTCTGCAGCAGGGGACGGGCACACATGCTTCTTGGTCTGCCCCTTAGCTGTGATGTTGGCACCGGACGTGGTACAGGTTGAGCTGATGTTGCTGGAAACCCAGCTGTCGATGTGTTAATATTTATTATACTGGAAACTCATTTTCACGCATTGCCATTTTCAGAACTGAACATTCTGTGTGGTTTGAGTTTTGTGTATTCACTGAGCAAACAAGGAGG